CTGAGCTTGGCGAAGCCCTGCCGAGATCGCCGCTACTTCCACCACCACGCCGTCGTGCTGTTGGATCTCCATCAACCTCTCCTTCCCCCTTGCTGGGTCAAGAAGGAGAGACGTCTTCCCAACAGTACGTGTGTTGAACGCGGAGGTGCCATCCGTTCAGCACTAGGATCTTCGGTGATTTGGATCACGACGAGTACGACTCCCTCAACCCCGTTCTCTTGAACGCTTCCGCTCACGATCTACAAGGGTATGTAGATGCACTCCTCTCTCTCATTGCTAGATGACTCCATAGATTGATCTTGGTGAAGCGTAGAAATTTTTTATTTTCTGCAACGTTCCCCAACACTCTGCGTAGACAGAGGTTGCCGGCGGAGTAGGCAAGCCTCCCTCCATGGAGGTTGGCCGCTCGCCCAATCCTGGAGCCTTAAAGGCCCCCAGGACCTTTTCCGGATCTGAGTCCCTTTGAGACGACACCTCGGTGTCCCGCCTGGACTTCGGAAAAGGAGCCCCCGGAGGCGTCTCGCGCTCGCCACAGCATCCGAGCTCAATGAATCCTCCGATGAGGACTGTCCGGCAGGAGATCTCGCTGGGCTGTACGAGATGTGGCGACAGTTAAGACTACCGTACCCACACGACCCTGGATGCATAGGCGCATTCGGCTTTCGGTTACTTATGATTTTTCCAGGGGCTGGGCATTGGGATCCCACTCTGGGCTGTTATCGGCAGCCGGGGTGGATGCGTCTGGATGGGAACCTCTCCCCCTCTTGGGCGATCCGGCCTCTAGGGACGGGAAAGCCGCACACTTCTTCCTGCCTTCAAAGCGAGGCTCGTCCTCCTCTTCTTCCTCCTCGTCTTCGGAAGAAGGAGCGTCGCTGGAGCCTTCGGAGTTAGCGTCTGAAGCCTCACCGGGTCTTCTTGACCTTCTTGGAGGCCTCCTTCTTTGGCGCCTCGTAAGGTGCAGGGACCAGCATCTTCGTTGGAAGAGGTCCGGCCGGTTCCTCCGGCAGCGGGGCCGGACAATGCATCTGCTCCACCTTCTTTATCCATCCCTGAGGCCACGATGAAACACGATTAAAATGTCTCCCTCATCACATGCCGGCTGAAGCATGGATGGACAGGGCGTGGCTGTAAATTACCGGGCTTGCAGAATGGGATAATTGATACCCCCGGTCCTCGGCGGAGTCCGGCCATGATTTGCCGGACTTGAAGAGCACCTTCCAGATATCCTCGTGGGAGGAATCATAGAACTCCCGAAGGGTCTGGTGCTTGGTTGGGTCGAACTCCCACAAAGTGCAGGCTCGACGCTGGCAAGGGAGAACCAGGCGAACTAGCATCACCTGGACTACGTCGACGAGTTTGACGTCCTTGTCAACCACGCTCTGAACGCGCGTCTGGAGCAGTGACAACTCATCGGACGAGGACCAGTTCGGGCCCTTCATGGGCCAGGACGTGAGCCGCAGTGGAGCTCCGGATCTAAACTCAGGAGCTGCAGCCCACTTTTTGCCACATAGTTCGGTGATATAAAACCACTGCTGCTGCCACTCCTTGACGGAGTCGTTGAAAGTTCCCTTCGGCCAAATGACCTTGGGCATCTTGCTCACCATGGCACCGCCGCACTCGGCGTGTTCGCCACTCACCACCTTGGGCTTCGCATTGAAAATCTTCAGCCACAGGCCGAAGTGAGGCGGAATCCGGAGAAAGGCCTCTCACGCGATGATGAATGTCGAGATATTGAGAAAAGAGTTGGGGGAAAGATCATGAAAATCAATCCCATAGTAATACATGACTCCACGGACAAATGGGTGGAGGGGAAACCCGAGCCCGCGGAAAAAATGGGGAAGGAACACGACTCTCTCATAAGGCTCCGGAGTGGGGACAACCTGTCCCGCTGGTGGAAGATGGTGTCAATCTTCTTGGCCAGATACCGAGCTTCCCGGAGCTTCTTCATATCCTTCTCCCGGACGGTAGAGGCCATCCATTTGCCTCCTGCTCCAGATCCGGACATCTTTGGAAAACCTCTCTTTGATGGAAAAGAAGAGTGCTTGGGCGTTAGGTCTCGAGCGGAGGGGAATGAGTTAGCGGAGGGAGAAGGCGTGCGTAAAAAGGAAGAGACCTTATTTCTTTATAAGAGGTGGTAAAAGCTTTTTTGCGCCTCCCCACTTACCTGGTGGAACCCTCTTACCTCCCACTCGCCGCGATTTGCGGTGCGGTTAGATTACCCATACTCGTATTGATGAGAATCCTGTGATAAGGGGACAAGATCTTTTGCTTCGACAAGACATGCCAGGGGAACCGCCTCGCAATATACGCTGAGGCTGGATGTGGGAAAACGGTTCGAATAATGACCTGACCGTAATTACATATCACGTCATCTAAAAAGTAGTCAGCTAAAGTATCATTCTCTCTACGGTGGTATGTGAAGATCATTTTGCAGATCCGGACACGGTCTACGTGTTCGATAATTACCTTGGAGTATCCGGAGAAGGAACCCGCCTTGCAATGCCGAAGACAAGACTGTGCGCCGGACTCACCGTCATTGAAGCCTAGTTCAGGGGCTACTGAGGGAGTCCTGGATTAGGGGGTATCCGGACAGCCGGACTATACACATCGTCTGGACTATTGAAGCGTGAAGATACAAGACTCAAGACCTCGGCCCGTTTCCGGATGGGACTCTCCTTTGCGTGGAAGACAAGTTTGGCAATCCGGATATTATATTCCCTTCCTTGTAACCGACTCCATGTAAACCCTAGCTCTCTCCGATGTCTATATAAACCGGAGAGGATGGTCCTTAGAAGGCCGATCACAATTACAATCATACCATTGTAGGCTAGCTCTTAGGGTTTAGCCTCTACGATCTCGTGGTAGATCTACTCTTGTACTACACGTATCTTCAATATTAATCAAGCAGGAAGTAGGGTTTTACCTCCATCGAGAGGGCCCGAACCTGGGTAAACATTGTGTCCCTTGCTTCTTGTTACCATCAGCCTAAGATGCACAGATCGGGACCCCCAACCCGAGATCCGCCGGTTTTGACACCGACAGCCACCCAGGTGCCCACTAAGCACAAGGGCACGCCAGCCCTCCCCGACACGCCCTGGTCGATAGTGAGCCACCCAGCCCACTTCTGGCGACCATCTTCTGGTATATACTCACTTTTGACCCAGAAATAAAAAAGGAGAGGACTTTCGGGTTGGAGCACCGCCGTCTCGATACGGAACTTGGGCAGGAGCACTTTTGCTCTCCGGTGGAGCGATTTCGCTGGGGATACTTCCCTCCGGTTGGGGGAAATTGAAGCCATCGTCATCACTAACAACCCTCTCATCATCTGAAGATCAATCTCTATCAACATCTTCACCAGCACCATCTCATCTCGAACCCTAGTTCATCTCTTGTATTCAATCTTTGTATCGAAACCTCAGATTGGTGCTTGTGTTTTGCTAGTAGTGTTGATTACATCTTGTAGTTGATGCTAGTTGGTTTATTTGGTGGAAGATTATATGTTCAGATCCATTATGCTATTCAATACTCCTTTGATATTGAACATGAATATGCTTTGTGAGTAGATACGTTTGCTCTTGAGGACATGAGAAGTCTTGTCATAAGTAATCGTGTGAATTTGATATACGTTCGATATTTTGATGATATGTATGTTGTGATTCCCATAGTGGTGTCGTGTGAACGCCGAGTACATGACACTTCACTATCTTCTGGCATAGGGGAATGCATTGTGGAGTAGTTATTAGATGATGACTGGGAGAGTGACAGAAACTTAAACACTAGTTTATGCGCTATTCCATAAGGGTTGATTTGGATCCATATATTTAATGCTATGGTTAGATTCTATCTTAATTCTTCTGTAGTTGTGGATGCTTGCGAGAGGGGTTAATCATAAGTGGGAGACTTGTTCAAGTAAGAACAACACCCAAGTACCGGTCCACCCACATATTATATTATCAAAGTAGCGTACGTGAATTAAACCAACATGATGAATGTGACTAGACGAAACTCCGGTGTGTCCTGAAGAACACTTTGCTTATTATAAGAGACCGTTCTGGCCTGTCTTTTGCCACAAAAGGATTGGGCTATCTTGCTGGACCTCTTGCTACTATTGCTACTTGTCACTTGTTACAAATTATCTTGCTATCAAACAACTTGTTATCAGAATTTTAGTGCTTGCAGAAATTACCTTGATGAAAACCACTTATCATTTCCTTCTGCTCCTCCTTGGGTTCGACACTCTTACTTATCGAAAAGACTACGATTGGTCCCCTATACTTGTGGGTCATCAGGAGGCGAGGTAAATGTTCCATTTGACAATGGCTAATACCAACCATCTTCATGGAAATACATAGGCGGGAGACAAAGCGCGACACTATATAGATGTAAAATATTCATTGAATATGATTAAAGTGCATGGGGCATTTTAAAGGTGGATTGTTTTCATGCATGGTTGAATGGTAAGAGAATTGGAGTTAGTGGGGGATCAACAATTTAGCTTTATAGGATTCCATGGGAAATATGATAAAATTACCAACTAATAATATTAGTTGTTGATCAAACCTTAGATTTAACATACCAATACACATGTTGGCCGCAAGGCTGCATTCCATGCCTAGTAAGAGCTAAACCAGATGAAACGGAAAGTACATCCATGGCATGCTGATGCTCAGCATGTCTTTATTCCTCCATAATATAGGTATACCAAATGGAAAGTTCATCCATGATACACTGGTACTCAACATGTATTTATTTCACCATTACGTAGTTATTTATCATCCATGCACATCAAGCTTGCTAGCCAACCATAGGGGTGCGGGCAACGGCAACGACAATGCGGACACGGTTGAGATTTAAGTCCTGGGTCACCTGCACATCGACCGGGATGACCTCGATCTGGGCATCGGGCTTGTCCCGGAGGATGATCTCTTTGGCCTTCTCGGCGGACATCCCGACCACCTCCGGCCATGACGTCTTAGCACTGCTGGCTTCGGTGCTCCCTCTTGCAGGCTCTGGGTACTTCATGACACTTCCCTCCATGGAACTCATGTTCTTCAACGAACTCTACGATCAAGATAATTAAAGTGTTAAACATAACACAATTCCTAGAAAAATGGGAAATCAAAAGATCGACCAGGCGTTACACACACTCACCTGAATAATTGTTTACATGTTCTCACTGTGTAAGAAGATGTTGGGTGTAGCATCAACTTGTGGATGATATTTATACTAGGAAGTTAACTAAGTAGGGAAGTACATCATAGTGCACACACCAAGTAATCATCACATGGAGTGCAGCAACTTCACATGGTATCATGCTGAATTTGGTCTTGATAAGCATGATTGACGTGGCTACACATCACTAGATAAAGTGATGCCTATCCATCATAAACCAAGAAATGGGCAATTGATGAAAATCTGAACGTATATGTGCATCCATGCTTGTCATCATATACTCTCTTGATGAAAATCCGTGCCCTTAATGTTTCTTCGGGATAAAACACAACAGATACTTACAGCATACACAACAAAACGGGTTGACATATAGAAAATGTACAAAAAATATTAGGCAAAAAGAAAAGAGAAAACGTACAAAAAATGTTAAGGCAAAACGTGTTAAGGCAAAAAATAGTAAGCTTCACGAGTTCACGTGATGGATGGTTCATGGTGACAAGATATCACATTTGTATATATATCATTAAATATCAATTTTCTTGAATAAAGAATACATCAATTTGAAAAGGCATTCGTATAATCCATGAACTGAAAGGATAAGTTCACAAAAATGGGAAAAATTCGTGAATTTGAAAAAAGTTCATCAAATTTGAAAAAAGTTCATGAATTTTAAAAAAAAAAGTTCATCAAATTTGAAGAAAGTTCATAGAACTTGAAAAAAAGTTCATAGAATTTTAAAAAAAATTCATTGAACTTCAAAAAAAGTTCATCGAATTTGAAAAGTTCATCAAAATTCGAAAAAGTTCATCGAATTTGAAGGAAAGCTCAACAATTTATAAAAAAGTTCATCGATTTTCAAAAAAGTTCACAAATTTAAAGAAAAAATTCAGGAACAAAAAAAAGGTCGCAATAAATAGAACAAAAAAGATAAGGAAAAGGGAAAAAGAATAAACCGAGCTGAAGAACGAAAGAAAAAGAGAAAAGTGCCTTTTCACTCGGGAGTTGATAGCTTAGTGGCTAGAGCCGAGCCCTTACAACAGAAAGGTTCCGAGATCGACCCCCCACCCAGCGCTCTTTCTTTGACCTTTCAAAAAAGACGGAAAAACAAGAAGGAAGAAATAGAATGGGCCGGCCCAGTTTGGGCTGCTGCATGCGCCCGTTTGCAAATTGCACTGTAACGAGCGCCTGCAGCGCCAAACAGGAAATGCCCCCACCCCCCAGCTGACGCTCGCTAGTGTCAAAAGGACCAGCTTTCGCGCAGGCGCGAAGTAAATGGGACGGCCCATTCGATGGTGTCATAGCGAAGCGCTACTAAAAATAAAAGAACAAAAAACGCTTTAAATGAGGACTTGAACTCGTAACATTGAAACGACGATTAAGCGTTCTTACCTAGTTGAGGTACTAAGCGTTTGTGGTTAGTTGATCGTGCAAATTTCTGTGAACTCCATGCAGTGACAAATCCAGAAAAAAAATACAAAAAAAATCAACCATTGAACATTCTTGTAAATATACTACGTTCAATTTTAAAACAGACAAAGAACATTTTTGGATATATGCTGAATTTTTTTGAAATACACAGTTAATATTTTTGTGATATACGCTGAATAGTTTGTTAAATATACATTAAATACTTTTTGTAAATATACGATGAACATTTTATAACTACACATTGAACATTTTTGTGATATAAGCTGAAGAATATTGAAATAGACATTGAAATTTTTTGTGACATATGTTGAACAATATATATATATATATATATATATATATATATATATATATATATATATATATATAGAGAGAGAGAGAGAGAGAGGGAGAGAGAGAGAGTACATTTTTATAATATACGCAGAACAATTGTGAATTTTTTTTAAAAACTCTTTTAAAATTGTGCACAAGGTTTGAAATCACGAACAAAATTTGGAATTTTGAACATTTTATAAAACAAAGAATAAGAAGAAAAAAGGTATAAGAAAAATAAAGGGAAAAATATAAGAAATAGAAACAGACACAGGAAAAAGAAGAAAACAAGAAAAACCGAAAGCCAATAAAAGAAAGAAAACATGACAAAAACCGGTCGAGGGAACCCTCTAGAAGGTTCCCAAACCATTTGCCTGGCCCTGCTTCAAGAAAGAATGCCTTATTTGACACTATCTTAAATGTTGTTTCCCTATTTGACACCGAAAACCTTTTCTTCCCTACCTAACGTCGACTCTAAATGTTTTTGCCCTTTATGACACTTTCATCCGTTTTGAGCCTGAGCGGTGTTAAATGTCACCTGAAAAGACCATTTTACCCCTTATGTAGTATGTGAGCAAAGTTTCTGCATGGAGCTCGTGTGACGGCGGCTCGCACATTCGGTGTACTGGCAGGATGCATATCTTGTGCAGCTCGCGCGCGTGGTGTGCAGCCGGTGACAGACAACCAGCGAAGCCGTGGAACAACGAGGCGTGTAGGGCCAAAGATGTTAGAGGCACGAAACGGCTGGGAGAAAAACGTTTGGCAACCGAGAGGGCGCGCGATGGCCAGCAGAGTCACCGGCTTGCTGGGGCGGAGCCAGTGGGGGGGCGAGCGGGGGCCAGACCCCCCGATCGCTCGGCCACCCCCATCGATTTTCAGGGGGGGGGCTGTAGAAGTCAAGCGCACAAAGTTGGGAAAAGGCCCAGGCCTAGGAAAGCAGTCCACGTAGGCCCGTTAGATGGAAAGGTTACTTCTGGATCGGATCCACCTGCGCCTACTCACCTGACTACCAGCCGTCGCAACCCTAAAAAAAGGCTGCCAGCCGCCGTCCCCGTGCACTAGGGCATCTGGCGGCGACGTGTGTGTTCGTCGATCGCCCCCGTGTGCTAAGGCATCGCCAGCATCCGACAGTGATGGGTGTGTTCGTCGGCCATCACACCTCGCCGGCCGTCGCCTGCAGCCTGTCTATGGGCCAATTTCATGATATCCATGTGTCAGGTGCTCAGATTTGACTATCAGAACAACATTATAGGACTCGCTCCGGATCTAAGGTAATGTATTATGTTTCATGCCTGGGATATCACATGTTATTACTATTACTAGATTGTTATAAAACTGCTAGACGCTAGATACTGTTTGTCTGGTCAGTTATAAATTACATATTGGCTATATATACGTAATCCCCAACAAATATTCCAATCTATTTAGCATACAAACTGCCGACCAAATATTCTGGCGCAAGTAGAAATTACACAACCAGCTAGTAGAATCCACAGTACGCCATATGAGATTCTGCATTTCTTCCATTTTTTTCGTGTTAGTGCTACATCCAAACTACAAAAAATCTACATACCTAAAAGTGACCATTGAAT